ATATATAATATACGGCGTTTTGGACCGGCCATCGTCTACCAGCCCCTCTCTTGGTCCTCTTCTTGGTGTGATTGTTTTCTCGGATTGATGATTGCAGTACCTGAAGTGTTGCTTAAATTCCTGAAACCTCTATGAGTGTTGTAAATCTTACTAGAAGGGATAGTATCCTCTATTCCAGACACATGCACTGCACTCTCTTGGGTCAGAGCTGGACTTTGTCGGCAAAGACTACTGTGGTCAGTCATAATGCCTACTGGTCGCTCACATTTCAGGCTGTGCCTTTGATTACTGATTACTCAGTGGCGGATGGCAACTGCGACTGCAGCAGATCCAGATCCTCTTCCTTTGTCCAACGGGAGTTGTCACTCAGGAGTCGACTAGGTTTTTGTCGGTGACGCCAGCCGAAGTTACGAATCCGAGTCACAATGCGGAGGTCAATACCTTATATTGATATACAGTCGCTGTTATCACTCCGGCGAATGAGGCGACCGTCGTGTTGGCACTTCGTCGCACTACGTCTGGACTCGTAAGATCCATCTCCGGTGCCACCGAAGCGAAAACGAGTAAGTTGATTTGGCCATTTCTCTCTGACGACGTATGCTCAGTCGCGCTTACGCCCTCGGCCCTATGCCGAAACGTGCATGTCTCGAAGCGATTGTTCGTCATCCGAAATGCCGGTTTGATTTCGTTTAGGGGATTATAACAGAGACAGGCGTATCTTCATGTTACCTCTGCGAACCCGTGAACCTTCCTCAGAAGGCAACTGATTGACTGGTGATATCCTTCCTATCGCAGGACAATGCCGTATAGTATTTTCCATATCCCATAGAGCATAATGCGGTCAGTGGCTGTGGATGAGTAACTGAAACTTTGCCATTATTGGCTTCAGAGGCAAGCTCAGATTGTCTCCTTATTACTCTGGCTTGTGCGTCTAACTGAACTCATACATTCCAACACGACTATTGCACCTAGGCCTAACAACACCCTCACAGTTAGCAGCAGTTTTAGTAACACTTGTAGGTCCTTTGTCCTTAGTCCTGGACTCATCTTGCATCGTGACGTCTTTTGCACCAAGGGCGATGTCACACGCATGTTGTCTTGTTGTTTGTCGAACGGTTGATCTGCAAATCTTGTTATCCTGATGACGGTTATTCTGAAGTTTGAAGGGCTGCGGTTTCCATAGCTGGGTAGATCGTGCTTTAAATCCAAACAATCGGAAGATCAATCGACATTCCATTTGAAACTGAATTACAGTAACG